ATTCATATTTGAAAAAGATATTTTTTTATAAGCACCAAATTATATATATAAAGCATACTAGGTGTAACACCTCAAAATTTGCCTCATCATTTCTTGGTTTACTGGCTTATGTTTCTCTGTATTTCGTATTTCTGCATATCATGGCATTGGTTCTTGTGACATGGGATCTAAGTTGTTTTCATGGCTCAGGGTTCCCTTTCATTGCAAGAGTTTAAACAACGAGTATCAAAGGCTCCGACATTTATTTTTCCCAGCTATTGGTTGGTCTATTTTATTTTATTCAGTAGGTTATTTTCACTACATGAGGCAGTGTACAAGTTATCTCAGGAATTCTCACAGTTGTGATATTCAAGGGCAAGTTTCAGAGGCTTAATAGAGCTCAGAACAGATGAAAACGGACGAATGTGCATGATTTCCCTCCAAATGGTGCATTTTGCCAGTTTGTGAGTGAATAATCGATTAACCATTTTGCACTATCAAATGGTTAATCGGTTAACCATATTAAAATTTGCCCAGTAACGTGCATTTTTAATGCTGCCACTTTTGGGGTCTCTTGTTATCACTTGTGAATTGAGTTTTACACCAGAAGAAGGATCTAGAATCACTCTAATTTTGATTAATTTTCAAAATCAATTCAATTTTCCAATCCTAATCCCATTCCATTTTTCAAAACCACACTCCTAACCATAATTCTACTCTTAACCAAGAGCCTATTTATTTGAATTTGCTCCAAACCTCTCATAATAAGCTTCATTTTTCTGATATCTCTACACATTTCTCTCAAATTCTCTCAACTTTTTACACTCCAAGACCTCCATTAGAGGTCTTTAATTTGAGTTCATTAATTCTTCATTGGAAGCAAGATTTGAAGTGATTCTTGGATCAATTTTGGCTTGATCTTGCTTGTTCTTCACTTCTACTACAAGGAAGCTCTTGGATCTTGAAGATTCTTTGGGTTTCTTGCTTGGATCTATTAATTTGTAGTGAATCAACACTTACCAAAGCAAATATCAGCTTTGAAGGTTGGTTAATTATAGATCCAATTATGTTATGAGCTTATTTGAATAATCACAATGTAGATCTTCAAGTTTTGATTGATTTTGGTGATTTTGATCTTTGTGATTTGTGATTTCAATGCTTGATTGAGTTAATTGATGTTTGATCACTAGATTTTGGTGTTGAATTCGTGCATAATTGATTACGTGATCATTTGGATGATTGCATGATGAATTAATTGCTGAAAGTGCTTTTGAATTGCTGCTTTTCTGCTTCTGGATCAATGTTAATCGATTAACCAGTTGCAGTACAAAATTGGTTAATTGATTAACCAGTGTAATTTCTGCCAATTTTGAATGGTTAATCAATTAACCAGTTTACACTAGCAAATGGTTAATCGATTAACACTGAACTAGAATGTGATTTTTGGTTGTTTTTAAGCATGTTTTGATTTCTTTCCACTTTTAATCTTCATGAATTAATATGATGCATTTGTATGGACTATTTTTGACTTGTTTCATCATGCTTGAATGTTTGATCTCGATTCTTCGACGCGTAACTTTTGGTTTCTGTTTTGAATGTTAAACATGTTCATGTGGCTTACTTGAGTGATGATCATTTTCCTTGATTGCTTGTATCGTGTTAATTGATTATTATTGATGATTATATTGCTAGATTTGTGATGGACGTTTGAGTTTGCTTCCGATTCCATTTGCTGCATGTTCGTTTAATCATTCAATCGTTTGTTTTAAATTGAAAAGCATGTTGACCTTGTTGATGCAATGTTGTTGATCAATTGTGTTTGATTGTTGATGCTTGTTCATCCTTACATAATGCTTGTTCATGAATGGTGTTTACTCTTGATTGATTGCATTCACACATGCTTGCTGCTATGCTTTTCATAGCTATTTTTATGCTGAATTTTGCATGTTGTCTTTGCTTGTTTGCTTGCTGTCTGCCTTTCACACCTACTTTTATGCTGAAATAGTAGCTGTTAAATGTTGTTGTGCTGCCTTGCTGGATTTTATTGATGTTGTGTGCAGGAAGCGCTGTTGTAGATGCTATTTTTACCTTGTTTTTTCTTGCTTTTTGCTTTGCCTTTGCATGTTTCCTTAGGATTCTTATTCCAATTTAATTTCCGATTAAATTTGGAGTAGGATAGACACTAGGAGTGCATACCATGCATGATAACAAGTAGGCTAGTCTCTTTTAACCTTAACCTTAAGTCCATCTTTTGCATGCTAACATTAGGATAGAATCTTCTTTCGCATCCCGACCTTAGGACCACTTTGCATAACAATGTTAGGGTCGAGTTTCCCTTAGACCTTCTGTGCATCTCTCTTCTCATCTCAAAAAAAAATTCTAACTCATCTAATAATGACTATGAATGTTGTGTGCCACGAGCTTTAAGCATATGGGAAATGATGAGTGAGGGGTCTCCTCTCGCTTGTCTAGAGTGTTTAGTGTACGTCCCGTTTGGGGGCGATATGCGACACATTAGTTACTATATCATAGTCTTTAGTGCAACGTGAATCACAAAGAAAAATAATTCACTTGAATAAAACTCACAAACAAAAGTCAAACCTTTTCATCCTTTGGGATTGTGTTTCAAACGCATTTTCAGAAAGAGTATATTACCTTTTTGTTCTATCGCAAACAGGCATCGACCCTAACTGCTGGAATGAGAACTTAACGTCATTCATAAAAAACACTTAACCAACCTGTGGTTTCATCATTTCTCGAACTACGTTTGCTCTGATTTCTCATACCATATAAGGATACGTAGGCACAAGACGATGATATCTTGGCGGGCAACCTTGCCCCATCACCCGTAGTTTTCCAAACTATGTTGACTCTGACTTTCCCATTGCACGAGGGAATACGTAGGCATAGGGTGGCAATGTACCATTGAGTATCTTTCTTTTTATTTGTTTTTGTTTAGCAGTAGCTTTTAGATAACACACCCTTTGATTATACAACAAGCATGGATCCCGTTGAGTACAACGGACGCGAGGGATGCTCATACCTCCCCCTTGCGTAACCAACTCCTGAACCCAAGATTTTGTTGCGATGACCTTGTCTTTTCCCGCTCTTCAGGTTTTCTTTGATAGTTTCCTTTCCCTCTCTTTGGGATAAATAACGTTCGGTGGCGACTCTTCTGTTTTTTCGCCGGGTGTTTTAGCAGCTGCGACACTAGGAGTACACCAAATCATAAAAAGTTGACCCACCAAAACACCAACCAAAATGCACTTGGAAAAGTCAAGACTTCCAATAGGAGATTGGATTCTTGTAGACGACTTCAATGCGATAAAATCGAGCAATGAAAGGAAAGGAAAAGGAAGAGGTTGTGTTACAGAAATGTCTGACTTCTCAGCATTTATAGAAGCAATAGAATTGGTTGATGTTCCAAATGTGAGGGATAAGTTCACATGGTTCAAGCCTGATGGAACTTACAAAAGTTGTCTAGACCAATTTCTAATCACTGAGGCCCTGCTAGCTCAATGGAGTGTTGTGACTCAAAGGGTTGGAGATAAGGACATATTTGATTACAGGCCCATATGGTTAAAGGCAAAATTATCAAATTGGGGACCCAGGCCGTTTAAGGTATTTAACGGTTGGTTTGAAAATTTTGAGTTTGTGGATCTTTGCTGGTAATTTTTTAAGGTAGAAGGTAGCCCTGAGCATGTTTTAGTTGAAAAATTCAGAGTTCTAAGAGACAGGTTGAGGTGTTGGAACAAAAATATCTTTCGTTGGGTTGATTTAAACATAGAAACTAGGGTAAAGTCACTAAAAGAAATTTAAGATGTAATGGATTGTGAAGAAAGAGCAGTTTTAGAGGACTCACTTAAACAAAGAAGTTCTAAAATTGATAATATTTAGAGCAACTTGAAGTGCAAGGAGAGTATATTGAAGCAAAATTCAAATTCAAAATGGTTATCTGAAAGTGACTCAAATTCGCGCTACTTTCATGCTTTGCTGAAGGCCAGGACTAGAAGAAACAACATATCAATGATAAATTCTGGAAATGGGTTGGTGAAAAGGGTGGATCAAATCAATTCTATAGTCAAGGAATTATTTGAAAAGAAATTCAAATGTGTTCCAAGACCTGGTGTACATCTGAACTTGCCTAGGCTATACCAACTTTCAGAAGAGGAGAATGAAAGGCTCGTTATAATATTTACTAAAGAGGAAATCTAGGAGGTAGTGTCTGGTGATGAAGGGTGTAAAGGCCTGGGGCCTAATGGATATTCACTATATTTCTTGAAAAGATGTTGGGCTACTATGGGAGATGATGTTTCCAATTTCATTTTCCATTTTCACAAGTATGCTAAACTTTAAAAGGCGCTTGTATCATCGTCCATTGTGCTGATGCCTAAGTTGGAAATCCACAAAAGTTGGAAGATTTCAGACCTATAAGATTAGTGGGTTGTGTGTACAAAATCATTGCAAAGATAATGATAACTAGATTGAGCAAGATCATAGGTAAGCTGGTGGCAAAGACTCAGACGACTTTCGTACCAGGACAACAAATACTGGATGATGTATTACAGGTGAACAAACTGATGGACCTGGCAAGGAGGAGGAAAGAAAAATGTTTGGCCTTCAAAATGGATTTCCAACAAGCTTACGACTGTGTAGATTGGTCATTCCTTGTGGAGATACTGAGTGCAATAAAGTTTTGTTCTAAATGGATTGATTGGATAAAAGGTGGAACTCTGAATTTCTATCTTTCAGTAATAGTAAATGGTGGGACTACAAGGGATTTCAAGACAACGCGAAGGCTGCGCTAGGAAGATCCTCTTTCTCCTTTCTTGTTTTTTTTGGTGGCTGAGGGACTTGCACAAATGCTAGGAATAGCAAATACAAATGGTCAATCGAAAGGGTTCAATGTAAATGGTCAAGAGTTTGTGAACTTGGTATAATTCGTTGATGATACAATACTCATTTGCGAAGGCTCGTGGCAAGATTTGTGGGGAATCAAATCTCTTTTGTGAGGCTTTGAAATGTTATCAGGTTTACGTATCAACTTTTGGAAGAGTAATCGCTTTAGGATTGGTTGTGAGACTGATTTTCTTGTTGGTATTGCAAGTTTTTTGAGTTGTAGAGTTGGTTCTTTTCCTTTTAGATTCCTTGGTTTGGACATTGGAGGCAATCACATGGAACCCTATGGTGGAATATATTAAATCTAGGTTATCGTCTTGGCGGGGAAAGCTTCTATCCATGGGGGGGGGGGGGGGGGGGGGGTATCCTAATAAATTTTGTACTAGTTAACCTCCCTATCCATGACTTCTCTTTCTTTAAGTCCCCAAGGAAAATGTTGATACGCAAAGCATACCCTATATTTCTTGGGATAAGGTCTGTTGTGATAGAATCAGAGGAGGGTTGGGCATCAAGGACCTTAACAAATTTAACAATGCTTTACTCTCCAAATGGCTACGGCGATGCATTTCTGAGCCTGATGAGATCTGGCGAGGCATCCTGGAAATTTTTTATGGTAAGTCTCATTCCTGAATATTTCTCAAGAATAAGCTAAGGAGTTCGAAAGAGGATTCATTGTGGTGGAGAGATCTTATGACACTTGCGGATTCAACGGGCAATGGAAGCTTTATGGACCAAATCTCTTGCTCTCTTGCATGTGGTGACAAAATCTTGTTTTGTCATGATTGTTGGATTGGTCAGGTACCACTTCGTTCCATTTTCTCTAATGTATTCCATTATTCTGCTGCAAAATTTTCTGCTATTGCGGAGGTGAGAGACTGGGATGAAGGAGAATGGTGTTGGAATTACTCAGTTTTGGAACATTATGCCTTTTGAAGTGATGGAGGAATACCAGGAGCTGAAGGTTTTGTTGCAAGAGGTTCGGCCAGTTCAAGAAGTTGCAGATAAGTTTGTATGGAAAAATGATTTTCTTGGTTCATTCACTGTAAAATCATGTTATCAGGCGTTTTCAACTGTGTCGATAGATCTTGTGAGAGAGATTATTCCCAAGGCTGCTTTAGAAATCGTTTGGAAAACAAGACTACCACTGAAAGTGAGAGTATTTGGTTGGCGTGTCGTGTGAGATAGGCTTTCGACGAGAGCAAATCTGGCAGCCAGAGGAATAATCTCAAACCCTTACGAATTGGTGTGTTTTTTATTTTAATGCTATGGAGGATCTTCACCATATCTTTTGCGTTTTTCCGAGTATTAAAATTGTGTGGAGAAGGATTGCAATGTGGTTAGACATTCCTATAGTGGAAGAATGAGATGTCTGTCATCATTTGTTTGTTGGTTTTTGAAAATGGTGAAGAAAACATCTAAGGTCCCGGCTAGTGTAATATGGTTGTTGACATGTTGGTGATTTGGTGAAAAAAAAACCAGATAATATTCAATGACTTGATTGAAAAACATGAAGATATTGTAACGAGGGTTATCCATATTTTTTGGTCTTGGTTGAATTTTAGGTGTAGGCAGAGTCATCATCGCAATATTGGGGGCAAGCATCAACAATTTTCAGATTGGCTTCCAAAATAATTGCACCTGAATCATAAACAACAAAGTTATATTTTATAAATTTATGAGTTTATTATTATTTTTTGTTAGAAAGAAATTAAAAAGGAAGAGAGTAGATGAGTTCAAAGATTTACCAAAAACGATGACAAGAAGGATAGTCTCAACCTTTAAAGCCATTTTTCTTTGCAACACTATGAAAATTATGTCTCATATTTATAGCATAAAAAAAATAAAAGCATGCATATATGAAAGGAATCATATGTTGGTTTTTTATTTTTTGAAAAGTTTAATTAAATATTGATAATTTGTAGATAAAATTAATTTAAAATTTAAATTTATTTTTAAAATAAATAAATATGAAAAACAATATCATATTAAAATATTTAAAATATTAGGGATACAAATAATTTCTTTTTTATATATCCAACATTTATATATATATATATATATATATATATATATATATATATATATATATATATATATATATATATATATATATATATATATATATATATATATATATATATATATATATATATATATATATATATATATATATATATATATATATATATATATATATTAATTTGGATAGTTGTATTTGTTTATATTTGACTCTGAAAAATCTTAGAAGCTTGAAGCTGAAAAAAATAACAATACTTAAATACAAAAGTCAAATTAAAGCCTTACAATTCCAACAAGGAAGCAAATTCAATAATAGTGTTCTCACTATGTGTAGCATAGATGAAAGGTGAACCATTAATAAATTTATATATCTGTCTTTTTTCTTTTCAAAAAGAAAAATTGATATCAAATTCCTTAATTATGAAAAATGATTTCATCCACAAACCATACTCGTAGTTTAATTAGTTACTGTAAAACCAATATCAGGACTCGTAGAGTTGCATGAGTTCCTAACTTTATACTAATAAAGAAGACAAATTTTAAATCATTTAGCATCAAAGGATTTATCTGTTAACCAAGACTCTAAACATATGAGGGATGAATTGTTTTGTTTTAGTTTTGAATTTTTTTTATAAAATACTTAATTTTTAAAACAATTTTTTTATTAGATAAACACTATGAAAGTGGAAATATAAAAAGAAGACGGAGAAGGAGATAGGTACATAGTAGAAATATGAGTAACATAAACACTAATAAACACTATAGAATAGATAGAAAGAATGCATTAGAGATTTATTTAAGTTTGACCTAATAATTTAGTTTACTTTTGATTTTAAGAGTTTTTTCTTGAGAGTTCTACTAAAATTCACACTTGAAATTTTTATAGAATCAACACATGAACCTTCAACAACAAATATAGCTTTTATATTGTCTTAACTCAGGAACCAACAACCAGAGCTTTTACATAGGCTAAATTCAAAATTTTACAACCAGAACTTTTACATAGGCTAAACTCAAGAGTTTACAACCAGAGCTTTTATACATGCTTAGCTAAACAACCTACAAAGTCTTTACAGATAGATTATACTAGAGAATCATACTCTTGAATACAACATATTGAACACAAAACCAATTAAAACAAAAAATTTCATAAATATTTTTCATTGTTTCAGCTGTACGACGATTCTCATGAAAAAGAAATTTCAAAAACAAAGAAAATAGAAGAAAAATATAGAGGGTTGTATTAAGAACTCAGGTGCAAAAAGAAATGCAGAGAAGACCCCTTTATATAGAAAAAATTTATTACATGGGCCAAATTAAAAAAAAATCTAATTGATTTTCACATATTTTAATCGATTAAAAAACCTTCAAAAGCAAAAACCCTAATCTAGAAAATTAAATCCTAAAATGATTATATAATTTAATTAATTAATAGTTTTTCTAGTCAAATAGAAGGTCCTTTTACTAAAGATGAAAATTGGACCCATATTTGACAGTCATAAAAGTTACACACAATAGGTAGGATAAAATCTGCAATATTGGTACGGGCATGGACACGAAAAAGTACCAACTAAAATAAGCAGGTATGACCCCTTAATGAAGTGACTTACTCCTTTCCCTTAGAACTGATCGTGAGAGTATTCAATAATTTTTGACAATTTTTATAAGGTTAAACCACAAACTCCCTTATACAAGGAAAATGAACAAAAAATGGAGTGAAGTGGTTATTCTTCATGCCAAACAATAAAAAGAGCTTCGAGCAGTTACTATATAATCCAAACACATATTTTATACAAAATTATCTCAAACTATGTTTGGACTTTTGAAATAGTTATCCTCCTAACCAAACCATGGTTTTACACTTAGCTGACCAGAAACCAAACTGTGATTTTATATCAGGTTGATCTCAAACTAATTGAGCTTTTGTACATGGCTTATCTCAATAATTAATGTGAATATTTTTCACATGTTATTCTTCACGAACCCATAAAGAAAGTTTTTCCCTAAGTGGCAGAGCTCATGAACCAAATAGAGATTTAACACTAATCCTCCGAAAAGAGATTTCAACAGGTTTAGCTCAAATCTAAACATTTTTTTCTTACATAATTCACTCAAGAGGGAAAAAAACTCTTAAATAATTTAGAACTACTCCCTTTCTAGAAGAATCACCTTACTATATTCACCAATATTTCTCAAAGCGTAATGACTAAAATTAAATGAGAGAAATAAAAAAAATTGAGAGAGATTAAAAGAGAATGCCTCTATTTATAGGTCAAAAGATGGTTCAAAAAAGGAAACAATCCATGGTTAAAATTAATATCTTAATCTATTCGGGACATGGATAATTGATTATTGATGCTCAAAATGGAAGGTTTTGATATAAAGTCGTTGTTATTCATTAAGACGTTGTCACAATCGATTATGAATTTACTTTTCCTTTATCTTATTGATTAGGAACTTGGTCTAATCGATTAGGCAGTTCAAAAACATGCCATAATCAATCTAATAGTTCCTTGTTCATCTAGATAGTCTTCAAAAGCATTTTAGGTGATTATATTTTAAAAATAGAGGCTTCAAAAACAGTTTTATTGTGTGTATGATTTAGCCATACTAATTTAAGAAAACTTCCTTGTGTTTTTACAAAACATTGATCACTTAACTAAACACAGACATGAAAGCTTTCATATTTCCTCTCTTTTACACTCTGAAGCTTTGAGTCCTTTTATCGGATACACCAATAATATAAGCACATAACTTGAATCTTATTAAGGATGAGGCTTGAGATATCTTCAAGTCATATTCCATCATCAGATGATATCACTAAACCCTAATCATTTAACTTTATGACTTGTTCAACTATCTTATGCATTTGACCATTTGAATGAGCTTTAATACTTGCTTGTCTTAATGTGTTGTTGTCATAAAAAATACTTTAGGGGATGTTGCATCTTCACATGTTGTCATCATCAAAACCATGATGTTATTAGGTCTAAACAAAACTTATTGAGCTTTTATCACTTTCTTAATTCCCTACAAGCACATGGTTCCACACTCTTGACCTTTTACAATTTAAATTAATCACTCTAAGACTCTAAAGCATAAGACAGTCAAGTTTTTACACTTTTTGTCTTTTATATTTCAGGATCCTCTGCTTGATACATCAATTGATTAACACTTCAACCAAATCTTTATATCATCTGAGTGATGAGACTTGAGATATCTTCTTCTTGAATAAATGTCATTATCACGAATTTACGATATGATTGATATTTGTTCCATTCAAGAACTAGAAATGAAATGATAAGTGGCTAAAAAATTGGAATTTTTGTAAAATAAAAAAAATATATATTAAAAAAAAACAAATAATTTCACTATGGTTGTTTAATATTGTCAAGTATTAAAAGTGTGAGTAGTATGGATAATAGTCCCACATTGGATATGAATATGGTTACTTGAGCATTTATAAGTGAGAGAATCCATACACCTATTACCTTAAGATTTTGGGTGAGTATGTGGTGTGTCTCTCACAAAGGTGTTTCTTTAGAAAGAATGTCTCACGATGTTCAATTCTCCCTAGTTGAAAAAAATCCCCCAACAGAGGTATTATAGTCTTTGCTTTGAGTGAAGGACCGACTCACTTGTATCGAAAGTGTCCCTACAGGCAGTGGGTTGGGGTCCCGTTGAAGAGTGACTGACTCACTTGTATCGAAAGTGTCCCTACAGGAAGTGGGTTGGGGTCCCGTTGAAGAGTGTCAATGGCGGTACAAGTGTATGTGGATGAAGCTTTCGTTATGGATAGACTCACACTTGTGGGAGTGTTAAGTATTACAAGTGTGAGTAGTGTGGATAATAGTCCCCGACTCACTTGTATCGAAAGTGTCCCTACAGGCAGTGGGTTGGGGTCCCGTTGAAGAGTGTCAATGGCGGTACAAGTGTATGTGGATGAAACTTTCGTTATGGATAGACTCACACTTGTGGGAGTGTTAAGTATTACAAGTGTGAGTAGTGTGGATAATAGTCCCACATTGGATAGGGAGCATTTATAAGTGAGAGAACCCATACACCTATCACCTTAAGATTTTGAGTGAATATGTGGTGTGTCTCTCATAAAGGCGGTGTTCTAGAAAGAAAGTATCACGATGTTCAATGCTCCCTAGAGAAAAAAAACTTTCCCAACAAATACAACCGTTGTTATAGAATTTAGCATAATATGAGTGAATGTATAACCTAAGAAGTTAACTATGTTGTTTATGTGTCATTGTTTACGTTTCAATAGCTTGTTTTATAATGTTTGTAGGAAAATATGACGTGTATAACTTAAGATGAGTGAAGTTTCTGTTGGTTTTGACTTGTAGGTAGGGAAGGTAAATGAACAAAACTAACGAGGATGAAGCTAATGTGAGTGCTGCAAACTTATGTGAAGGCTGAGAATGATATACATTCAAATTTAAATGAAAAAAATTAACGAGGATGAACCTAATGTGAGTGTTGCAAACTTATGTGAAGGCTCAGAATGATATACATTCAAATTTAACACTGAGAATGATATACATTCAAATTTAAATGAAAAAAATTAACGAGGATGAACCTAATGTGAGTGCTGCAAACTTATGTGAAGGCTCAGAATGATATACATTCAAATTTAACATAAGTTTGTAACTCTCACTTCAGCTTCATCATCCTTTCATATTGTGGATGTCATTCTGGGCTAGCGTGTTTCTGAAATATTTTACGATTTGATATGTTGTTGTTGTTAATAATACAAGTTGTATGTCGTTGTATGTAACTTATGCTATGTTGTTGTTAATAAGAGTTTTTTTTGTTTTATCTTGTATGTTGTTTAAGGTTTGTTGTTGATGAATGTTGTTGTTAAGGTTTGTTTAGAAGATGATTTTATTATATCTTATGTGGTTTGAGTTTTTTTTCCAAATCCTTATCAAATATATAACTTTTTGCATTGCATTAGAAAATTATAGGCAAAATATCCTCTTTGGTCCCTTAACTATACTCTTGGGTTCAGATTGGTCACTTAATTTTTTTTCGTGTCAGATTGGTCCTTTGACTGTTTAAAACGTGTCATGTTAGTCATTTTTGTCTAATTAACGACGAACTTAGCGAATGATTTTTAAATTTTTACATCGCTAATTAGAGGAAAAAGACTAACATGATACGTTTTGAAGAGTTAAGGAACCAATCTGATACGAAAAAATTTAAGAGACCAATTTGAACTCAAAGGTATTGTTAAGGGATCCAAAAGGGTATTTTGGAAAAATTATAATATGATATATAAAGTTATGTTAGAAAATAAGTTACACCGTTTAATGCTAGATAAGAATTTTTCAGCCCATTTTCTACATTTCGCTCTTTAATGGTTAAGACGTGGTTTAATGCTTCTATTTCTTCAACAACTTATTTCTCCACCTCTAATTTTGTTTGCAAAGTAAATAAAATTTTGAAAAATAAACTAGAGGTGAAGGAAGGGGAGGTTGAAGAACTAGGAGCATTGAAACAAAATCTAACCGTTAGAATGCAAAGTGCGGTTAATGAAATGAAGTATTATTGTCTAGCATTAACTTGTGTGATTTGTTCTTCTAATATAACTTAATTTGTCATATTATAATGTTCTAGATCAGATTGAAAGCTTATATGTTTAATGAGCATCGACAAAATAAGCATTTCGCATAATTTATAATAAATTCAGTGTATATATCACAACAATTGTTTAGCACAACATTTTATTAAATGTTATGCGGTAAAGATATCACAACAGTTGATTAAAGTAACTGTTGTGATAGATAACACGCTTCCTAACATCATATTTACAACTTATCTTTTACCTCACGATAGTTGATCAGAAATGATGCTATTTTTCAACCATTGTATAATGGTTTTTACGCAGTCTGGTTTTAAAGCATTGACTTTGTTTGGAGCAGCCCACTTAACTCACCAACAGAACTACATTGAATAGTCAAAATATTGAATATATAATATATGTCAGTGACACATACACCTAATAATCTCTCTCTCACTCACTTTTTTTAATCTCTCTCTAACTTTCTTTAATCTGTAATGTAACTACTTTTCATGTACTTTGTTTTTACTTTGGCACCAATCAAATGATAAAAGACAAAAGTTAATGGTTGCATAAATAGGGAAACATATCGCCTCCTGCTACTTTAAAAATTGCACATACATGTTTCTTTTTAAATTTTAATTGTGATAGAAAATATACGAAATTTAAACTCATAAGTGTTGTATTTTTCATATTACAACGTATTATAATTTTCTTTATCATACATATTATTCATATTTATTGAAATTTAGAAGAGTGATCTTTCTTTACGTGAGAACACATTCACATCATCACATGCATGCATATATATTTCAACTCTTAGTACAAAGAGAAGTTCCATCTGCTTTGTAAATTGTACAGCCAGTTGATGCAAAACAACAGTTGCATCCAGGACTGAGGTGTTGGTTTCCTGAAGAAGGACAAATCATGTATGCAGAATCACCATAGCAAAATTGGGGGCAAGCATCAATAATTTTCAGATTGTCTTCCAAAATAATTGCACCTGAATCATAAACAACAAAGTTATATTTTATAAATTTATGAGTTTATGATTATTTTTTGTTAGAAAGAAATAAAAATGGAAGAGAGTAGATGAGTTGAAAGATTTACCAAAAACGATGACAAGAAGGATAGTCTCAACCTTTAAAGCCATTTTTCTTTGCAACACTATGAAAATTATGTCTCATATTTATAGCACCAAAAAATAATAACATGCATATATGAAAGGAATCATATGTTGGTTGTTTATTTTTTGAAAAGTTTAATTAGATAATGATATTTTGTAGATAAAATTAATTTAAAATTTAAAATTATTTTTAAAATAAATAAATATGAAAAACAATATCATATTAAAATATTAGGGATACAATAATTTTTTTTTATATATCCAACATTTTATTAATTTATAATTAATACGAAACTAATCATTTACATTTAAATTCAATATTTTAGGTCAATAATTTTTAATTATAATTTTTAAAATATTTTTTTGGATAGTCGTATTTGTTTATATTTGACTCAATGAAAAATCTTAGAAGCTTGTAGAGGAAAAAATATAAAAACTAAAAGTCAAATTAAAGCCTTGAAATTCCAACGAGGAAGCAAATTCAGTAATAGTGTTCTCACTATGTGTATCATAGGTGAAAGGTGGACCATTAATAAAATTTATTTTTGTGAGTTTTTCTTTTTTAAAAAGTAAAATAAATTTATATCAAATTTGTTAATTAATAAAAGTTGAACACTCCAATACTCTTAGGAGGTGTTTGTTTCAGAGATTAAAAGTTTATTATCAAAAATCTAAGTTGAGAATATAAAATATCTATGTTTGTTATAAAGGAATAAATAATTATCTTTAAAAAGTTATTTCTAGAAACTTTTTATACTCATTTCATTTCTCCCTTATAAATGTGCCTCTCAATTTTTAGTTAAGCAATGCACATTTTATTTATTATTGGGTAGGATCTAATTTTCTTTTCAATGGTATGGTACATAACTACTTTTTATATTTGATGTAATTAGTGTATTAAAATAATTATAAAATTTATTTATTATATTATTTACCTAAAAGAAAAAATATTATTGAAATTTAAAATAAAATGTTCTCCAGAGTTTAAAATACAAATCAAACACACATTTGCGAAGAAGAGTTTTTCTTTGACTTTGCCTAAGGTTTTGTTGAAGACAAATACATCATCAGAGAAAAAGATAAAGTGAATAATGACAATAGGAGAAGATAAAGTCAACAATGACAACAAAAGAAGATAAAGATGAAGACAATGATTGATCAATGTCGATTGACAAACATCTTTAAAATTTAGTTAAAATTCATAACCTTTAAGAAATCATGATTTATCTCTTATATCACTGTCGCGGCGTGAAAAATTTGAGATTAAACTATTGATTAACTTAACTAGAAAAGTAAGAGTCACCACCGAATTTTATTGTTTCCAAAGAGAAAGTGGAAAAGGTCAAACAAAACCCACCAAAACAAAACAAAAGAGAAATTTGGATATAGGGGTTGGTTATGTAAGAGGAATATATTAGTACCCCTCACATCTATGGTACTCCGTAGGAACCACTTGCAAATTTGTGTTAATAAAAGAGCTAGGTTGTTTGTTGATTGGTTTTAATTTGAAAAGACATTTTGTCGTATTCGAGTGGAAACTCAACTTACTACCCACAAGTATGAGGAAATGAACATTTGCGTCATCTTGATATGGAGAACTTTTAATTAGACGTTCTCACAAGAACATCTCAACATTCAAGTGGAAAATCTCAATCATTTCTCAACATATTGTAGAAGTATAGTGGTTTGCATCAGTACAAGAATAGACTAATATCTAGTCTTTCAAAAAAACATACAAGTCTTAAATTAAAGATCAGAGAGTCCAGAGAAATCACAAGGTCTCGAATTAATCACAAAGTCTCATATACCACTCCAAGCAAGGGAAAACACTAAATCCAGAGGTCGAAAGTCTAAAATAATCCTCAAGTAAGGGATAGTAACACAAAGTCTAAAAGATCAGATTAAATTTTTTAGGGTTTTATCCATTTTATAATGTTTTTGCTTTTTTTGAAATAAGAAAGCAATAAAAGGCATAAAGTAAAAAACAAAAGTAAAAGGCAATAATGCAAATGGCATGAATGTGCATTACATAAAAGTAAATGAAATAAATTTAAAGAGTATGAAAGTAAATGTTAGATGTTAGCACAATTAATATGTAAATGTTAGTGTTAATGAGAAGTCAATCAAGTCGGGATAATTTAGCGCTATGTTAAGCAATCTTAAGTGGATTTATGTAGAGGTCACATTTATCTGAGGCTGATCAATAACAATTTATGTGTCATACATGTTAGAGAACTAACACAAAGTTAGTCTCCTAAAATATTTAACACAAAAACTCAAAAACAAAAGAAGAATATATAGATGATAGAGAGAATGAAATAAAATCTCAAGCAATCACATAGGGATCATCTATCAACCAATCAAATGAATCAAATCATGATCAAGCAAGGGATAAGCTATCTTTGATACAAAGTGCCACAAATGATCAAATGATCATTCACTAACATGTTTGAACCAAAGAAGATTGAATCAATCAAAGGATCATCAAACAAGGACTTGAAATATTGAAAATATGTTCAACCAAGACCAAACAATCATCAACAGGAAAAATAAAGGCATTCCAAAAATTTGAATTAAAACAAAATAAAAATTATTTAGAAATTATTTAAAATGGAAAAATCACTACTAAAAAATTCGCGTTTGGTGACCGAATTAAAGACCAAAAAGCCTAAAAATTGGTCACTATAACGTTTATCGACCAATAATTTGACTACCAAGTTTCGGTGGAAAAAGTGCTAGTCGTTAACGTTTAGCGACAATTTTAGTGACCGATTTTAGCTGCTGGAATTAGTGACCGATTTTGGTGACCATTTTCAATTGTTTAAAGAACTTAATACCTGAACCAAAGCTCTTTCCTTTGCAAGGTTTTCCCATGTCCACTAGGCTATTTCATTTAAGTTGTTTAACTTATAAAATATATATATTATTAATGAAATAAAAATTTCAAATATTATTCAAAAAGATTATTACATTAATTGTCATAAAATTATATTTTATTTAAATTAATAAATTTGTATGAGTTAATTATTTATATAAATATATGTTTTATTTGTTAAAAAAATGTAAAATTTTGACTAAAATAAAAAAAGAAGAAGAAAATTGGGAGGGAAGTAACTTATTATTGAAAAAAAATATTAGTGACCAATATTTCGGTCACTGAATTTTTTTATGAATTAATCTATATAAAAATGATTATTTGAGACTGAATGTTTTGGTCACAAAATATCAGTCGGTGACTAATTTTATTTTGTGACCGATTTAGTGACTTTTAAAATTTGCTAACATGATGTTTAATTTTGGTGGCTAATCCGGTCACTAGAGTGACCAAAAATTTCCAGTCATTATTTTGGTCACTAAAAGCGATTTTTCTAGTAGTGAATCCAAAGATGCATCAAAACATCAAATAAATTGTCAAAAAAAAAATTGAGAAAGTAAAAAATATTACAAGTAATGAGATCTCAAAAGTTGGAGAGAAAAATATTTCAAAATGTATGAAAATAAATTGTTAAATGAAAATAAAAAAGAAAATAAAAGAATACCATAATGAATTTTAAAATTCTGAAAAAAAAAAGTGATAGAAAATGATTTTTATGATTTATGAAAAAAATGGAGTCAAAAAGGTCAAAAATGTTATTTAAAATAAATCAGAAAAGCAAATAGAAATAAAATGAATAGAAACAAAAAGAAAATAAAAATGTTAAATGACTAGTTGTGTGGCGCGTGGTGATTGGTCAGAATTTGAATTCTCCCACCAAAGTGCGCGAAGTTTCATCGTCTTCAACCTTCAGCTTGATTTTACAAATCCATGAACTCTGAGTTTTAAGCTCAAACACACTACGTGCAACCTTCTACTTATGTCATCGTTCATGTCTCTTTGCATCAGAGCGATTGACTCACTTTGAGCAGAGAGCATTTTCCCAAGAACACGAAGAACCCTAGTTCTTCAAAGTAAAATTAAATCACTAATACACAATATAAATTCAAGGTAGGTGAGGGTTTTTGATCAGTGAATCAAGAAAAACACACTAGTAACTTGTTCGCTCTGAAATTTAACTCATAACTACCTTTTCAGTTGAAGCTTCAGAGGTTAACAATGGTAGAATCTAATTGAAGGTTGCAAGAGGTTTCAAGCCACGAAAATGCTCCAGTTAGCTTCAGAGGAGGCCGATGAGTGATTCTGGGCAAAGAAACGAATCTAAAAGAGCTTGAGTCAAAGAAAAGGTTAAATGGCTTTTTGAGGTATCAGGTTCAAATGATTTTAAAGTTTCTTTGGCTATCAAAGCTTGGAAATGACAGTAAACGCTTCCTCTATTTATAGGAAAAGTTTTGCTGAACTCACACATGTGAAATAGATCTGAATTCATGTGAATGGAATTGGAATTTTGGTGATTTGTAATTCGAGTGAGGGTAAGGGTGAAAAGTGTGATTCAGTGACAAAACCTGATCGTTTTTCACTTTCTTCCATGCATTTTGGTTGTACAAAAACTTCACACATGTGAAGGTGATCCTAGATTGAGAATGGCATGAAATTCGTGACCTGAAAGTTGAACAAGAAGTAGAGCTCAAGGCACCATGTTTGAAGCTAGGCCAAATGAAATTCCCTCGTGCATTTTGTTCCAAATGTTCCTTTCATTTCAAAAAATTCAATGTAAAAAGAAACACATCAAAAGTATGTTTGAATTGAAAATGGCATTGAATCAAAGTTGGGGCCGTGGCCTGGTTTCTAGGTCAGGCATTAGGTCAAACCATGTTTTGGCATGGCTGGCCAGTCTGACACCTCATATTCATGACATCATAATTTTTAATTCCCTCGTGCTAATTAAGCTAAACTTAGGCCAAATAATCCTTGTTGTGAGCTTAACAAAAGGAACAAAGAAGCTTGTTAATTGGATGCTTGAGTTTGAAATAGCATGAGTGCAAAGTGAGGGGTCACAACAAGGTTTTAGGCACTTTTAACAACTTGGTCCTTAGAGGTTGAATTGATGTTTGAACCTTGAAGAAAAGTTGTACAGGAATTCAAATGTGAC